GCCACGTGCGCGCTGCATGAGCTCATGTCTGCTCCGGAGGCGGGGGCCGCCGTGCTGGGGCTGTACCCGGCGCTCTTCGCCACCCTCCTGCTGCGCCTCAGCTGCTCCCTGGGGGTGCAGCTCCCCAAAAACCTGCAGGGCAGGGACAGGAGGAGCCTCCAGCCCGCCAGGTAACGGGGGAAGGGAGGGGGGACACGGACACACCTGGCCCCACCTGCCGCGGGGGTGGGGGGGAGTCACCTCTGGAATTGGGGGTTGGGTGGAAAACCAGCCCGGGCGGGGATGGAACTGCTGGAGGAACTGGTTTTTGGGTATGGATGGAACTGGAGGAACTGGTTTTAGGTGGGGATGGAACTGGAGGGACTGGGTTTTGGGGTGTAAAACCAGCCCAGTCTGGGATGGAACTGGAGGAACTGGTTTTTAGGTGGGGATGGAACTGGAGGGACTGGGTTTTGGGGTGTAAAACCAGCCTGTACTGGGATGGAACCAAAGGAACTGGTTTTTAGGTGTGGATGTGACCACAGGAACTGTTTTTTTGGGTGTGAATATAACTGGAGGAACTGGTTTTTAGGTGTGGATATAACTGGAGGGGCTGGTTTTTGGGTGTGCAGAACCAGCCTGTACTGGGATGGAACCAAAGGAACTGGTTTTTAGGTGGGGATGGAACTGGAGGAACTGGTTTTTGGGTGTGCAGAACCAGGCTGTACTGGGATGGGACTGGAGGAACTGGTTTTTGGGTGTGCAGAACCAGGCTGTACTGGGATGGAACCAAAGGAACTGGTTTTTTGGGTGTGGATAGAACCAAAGGAACTGTTTTTGGGTGTGCAGAACCAGCCTGTCCTGGGATGGAACTGGAGGAACTGGTTTTTGGGTGTGCAGAACCAGGCTGTACTGGGATGGAACTGGAGGAACTGGTTTTTGGGTGTGCAGAACCAGCCTGTGCTGGGCTGGAACTGGAGGAACTGGTTTTTGGGTGTGCAGAACCAGGCTGTGCTGGGATGGAACTGGAGGAACTGGTTTTTAGGTGTGGATGGAACTGGAGGAACTGGTTTTTGGGTGTGCAGAGCCAGGCTGTACTGGGCTGGAACTGGAGGAACTGGTTTTTAGGTGGGGATGGAACTGGAGGGACTGGTTTTTGGGTGTGCAGAACCAGGCTGTGCTGGGATGGAACTGGAGGAACTGGTTTTTGGGTGTGCAGAACCAGGCTGTGCTGGGATGGAACTGGAGGAAGAACAGCCTGGGATGGAATGGGATGATGGTCTGCCCATGAGGTTTGGGATGGGGAGGGGGTAGATTGGGAGGGGTTGGGGTTTTTCAGCTGCAGGACACGAGGGTTAAATTGGGAAGAGTTAAACTGGGGGTCTGGACAGAAGCAGGGCAGAGCCCACAGGATCCCAAAAGAAGGGAGAATTGAAGGTGTGGATTCCAGGGAAGCTGTGGCTGCCCCTGGATCCCTGGCAGTGTCCCAGGCCAGGCTGGATCCCCCTGGGATGGTGGGAGCTGTCCCTGCCAGTGGAAGGGGGTTGGAATGAGATGATCTTTAAGTCTCTTCCCACCCAAACCTCTCCAGGATTCCGTGCCTGTTACAGGCACCAGATTGGCCTGGGCAGACGGTGGCTGAGTCCTCCTGCCTGAGGTTCTCCTTAATTAGTAATTAATTCCTTCAACCTCCTGATGCTTGAAGTGCCCTGAGGACTCTCTGCCAGCCTTGGGAGCTGAGCTGGGCCCTTTCCTGGCCCTGCTTTCCCCTTTGCCATCATTAACAGAGGGAACTCCAGCAGGAACCCGCTGGCCCCTCCGTGGGCTCCTTGGGTGGGCTTTTCAGGGAATGGTGGAGGCTTTTCCGTGGGGAATCCGACCCAGACCTCTGGTTCTGTGCACGATCCAGGGCTGTGCCGAGCAGGAAAGCCAGCCTGGCTGGTTGTGCTCGTGTCCTTCCCTGCTCCCCGTGCCTCTCCCGGGGGCAGCTGCTCAGCTTTGGCCCTTACGGATCATGGAATCTCTGAGGCTGGAAAACCTCGGAGATCCTTGACTCCAGTTAAGCCAAGGATGCCCCAGCTGTCAGGGAGGGTCCTCTGGGTGCTCAGGGGGGTTCTGTGGGTGCAGGGTTGGTTTTCCACTGTCCATCCCAGACTGGGACTGTCCAGCAGTGTCCTGGGTGTCCTTCCTGAGGGCAATCCGGGCTCTCCGTGGCTCCTGGGATACCCCACCCTCCTGGGGCTCCACAGCAGGGACAGCCCCCCCATCCCCACCAATCCCTCATCCCAGTGGGAAGCCGGACCATCAGGAACTCATTCCCTCAGCCCTGACAGCCCCGAGCCCCTCGCTGCCTGAACTGAGCCTTGCTGAGCTAAACTGAGCCAGACTGAGCCCAGCTGAGCCAAACTGAGCTAAACTGAGGCAGACTGAGCGAGACTGAGCCCAGCTGAGCCAGACTGAGCCCAAATTGAGCCAGACTGAGCTGGACAGAGCCCAGCTGAGCCAGACTGAGCTAAATGGAGCCAAACTGAGCCCAAATTGAGCCAAACTGAACCAAACTGAGCCCAAATTGAGCCAAACTGAACCAAACTGAGCCCAAATTGAGCCTTACTGAGCTAAACGGAGCCAAACTGAGCCAGACTGAGCCATACAGAGCCCAGCTGAGCCAGACTGAGCCAAACTGAGCTGAACAGCCCAACAGAGCCCAACCTGAACCCAAACTGAACCCAGCTGGACCAAACTGAGCCCAACTGAGCCAGAAGGAGCCCAAACTGAGCCCAACAGCCCAAACTGAGCCCAGCTGAGCCCAGCTGGAGCCGAGCCCAAGCCGTGCTGCCCTCCCCTCCGCAGCTGTGCCGTGGAGACGCTGAGGGTGATGCTGCTGCGGGGTGGCAGCGAGGAGGTGGTCCGGGACGTGGGCGATTCCGGGGGCTGGGAGCTCCTGGCCAGCCCCGAGCGGCACCACGACGGCGTCGCCCTGCTTGCCAGGTAAGGCCTGGCACCACCCCCTCCCCTGACTGAGCAGCCTGGGGGCCCTTCTGTGGCAGGGGGTGGCACTGGGTGGGCTCTGAGGGTCCCTCCCCACCCAAACCGGGCTGGCATTCCAAGATTTTTAGGATTATTGCCTGGCATGGGGGGAGCAATTTCAGGTCGGGCTTGCTGGAAGCAGCCACAGGGAGCCCATGGCGGGGGGAGGTCGGTCCCTGGTCCCACTGGGGGGTCCCTGGTCCCACTGGGGGGTCCCTGGTGTCACTGGCGTCACTGGGGGGTCCGTGGTGTCCCTGGTCCCACTGGGGGGTCCCTGGTCCCACTGGGGGGTCCGTGGTGTCCCTGGTCCCACTGGGGGGTCCGTGGTGTCATCAGCCCCTCCGTGGGGTGCCCGGTGTCCTCACTCCCGTTATGGGGTCCCTGGGTGTCCCAGCCCATCCCATCATTCCCAGGGGATGCCCAGCTGGCACCTGCCCGTGTTCCCTGTGGGGTGGGGGGTGACAGGACCCCCATCCCGGTTCATCCGGGGTCTCCCCGGTCCCTCCCAGCGCCCGGAATAGCTCTTGGATCCCGCGGAGCCGGGCGGGCGGTTTGGGATTTTCCAGCATTTACAAAAAAAAAACCAAAAACCCCACACTTTTATTAAACCTCCCAGATGCTCCTCCAAAACAAAACCCACCCCTGCAGCTGCCAGGGCCGTCCAGGGCGCTCCAAACCCTGCCCTGGTGGCAGGAAGGGACAGTGCCAGGGTGGTGCCACTGGTGTTTCCATCCTGGTGGCAGGAGGGGACAGTGCCACTGCCACTGGTGTTTCCATGCTGGGGCTGGAGGTGACAATGCCACTGGTGTTTCCATGCTGGGGTGTCCTCTCTGGTGGCAGGAGGGGACAGTGCCAGTGCCACTGGTATTTCCATGCTGGGGTGTCCTGCCCTGGTGGCAGGAGGTGACAGTGCCAGTGCCACTGTCTCTGCCGAGCTGGGGGCCGTTCCCCCCCATTAGCCCGTGGTCCCGGGGGCTCCCCCAGCCCCCCCAGCCCCCCGTGGGCTGGCAGTGCCGTCCGTGGGGGTGGGGATGGAGTGCCAGGTGCCGCTCCCTCGGCAGGGCCATGGCTCGCCACGCGGGGCCGCGGCTGCCCCTGGTGGTGAAGAACCTGACGCCGGCCCTGAGCAGCGCCTTCGACAGCCAGAGGGTCACGGCCACCGCCTTCTTCGCAGAGGTGAGCGCTGGGCTCATCCCGGATCCATCCCAGATCTGTCCTGGGTCCGTCCTGGGTCCATCCCGGATCCATCCCTGATCCATCCCGGGTCCATCCCTGATCCATCCCGGGTCCATCCCTGATCCATCCCTGATCCATCCCGGATCCATCCCAGATCCGTCCTGGGTCCATCCCAGATCCATCCTGGGTCCATCCCAGATCCATCCTGGATCCGTCCCGGGTCCATCCCTGATCCATCCCGGGTCCATCCCGGACCCATCCCAGATCCATCCCGGGTCCATCCCAGATCCATCCCAGCTCCATCCCGGATCCATCCCGGGTCCATCCCAGATCCATCCCGGGTCCATCCCAGATCCATCCTGGGTCCATCCCAGATCCATCCTGGATCCGTCCCGGGTCCATCCCTGATCCATCCCGGGTCCATCCCGGACCCATCCCAGATCCATCCCGGGTCCATCCCAGATCCATCCCAGCTCCATCCCGGATCCATCCCGGGTCCATCCCAG